GCACCGTTCAGCAGGCGATACTCTAATCTTTCACAGCTACCTAGGGTCGCAAAACTCGTAACGGTCATCACACATTCCCCCCTCTTTTGTGACTCTAGCGTGTCCCGGCTCACGGGTCTTCTGCATGTCTGGTTCGCTCAAATCTCGACAACACTCTACCCACACATTACCACAGCTCAGAGAGCCACTTGGTTGACTCTTGGTCTTATGGGACGGGCTGTCGTGCACTTAATATATACGTCACATAGAGGGCGCAGGCTAGTTTTCTTATTTTGCCCTCTGGCCCTTTCCACCTTATATCGTCTGTTCAAAATCCTATGTCCCTCTCTCCCTCATGTCTCCATCGGGCTCATCTACTCTGGCACCGATTACCCCGCTAGATTCGTATTCTCTCGTCATGTCCATAAATCACAAACTGCCTTTCATTCTCTTTTTCAAAACGAACACTCGTGTCAATTCCAGGTCGGGGCGGGCGGAGGGGCGTGTCCGTGGCGGGGAGGGGCGGCAGAGGGGCGTGTCCGGGAGGGGCGGAGCGGAGGCGACGCGCCTGGGCTGGAGGGCGTCCCCGAGGCTCCCGCGAGAAGCCGGCACCAGGGACGCGGTGCGGTTGGGCAGGGCGTTGGGAAGAGGCTCGCGCGCAGCAGTGGCGGCGGAGGCGGCGGCGGAGGCGGAGGCGGTTGCGGTTGCGAGGCCTGCGGGGTGAGTGTCCAGACCTCCCGCCCTTGGGTCACTCCCACCCCCGAGTCCTCTGTCTGGGCAGCGGTCCTGAGACTCCCTGGGAGCCTTCCCTCCCGCAGGCGCCCGCGGGTGCTGCCGCGGGCGCGGAGAGGTCTTGGCTGGCGCGGTCTTCGGAGGCAGCAGTTTGGGTGGGTCTGAGTGACCGCCCTCGTAGCTGGGGCTGTGTGGCCGGTGCCGGCGGGGCGACTGGGAACGGGAGCTTCCCTCCTCGCCGGCCCGGAGGCTGGGAGTCCGGCCCCGGCTCCGCGGGCGCGGTGTCTGCCGAGGGCTGTGAGGGTTCAGGGAGGATGCTGGCGTCCTCGCGGGGAGGAGGGGGAGGGGGCTCTCTGGTCTGTTCTCTGAGGGCGCTAATCCCTTCGTGGGGGCTCTACCCTTATGACTAATCCCCCCAAAGACCCCACATCATGTAAGTGGGGGGCGGAGCACAAACATTCCGTTTATATCAATGGGCGAAGGCAGATTGCTTATGTTCACCAGGCCTCCGTTTCCCCATCTGTAAGAAAAGGGACACCCGTACCGGTCTCAGAGGGTGACCGCCAATATGAACTGGCCTGGACGTAGCCAGTGCTCACCAAACGGCTGAAAGCGAGGTGGGAGTTTAGTTCCCTGTGAGAGCAAAACGTGCGCCAAAGTGCAGCGTGCAATGGGCTGCGGGAGCAGGGCAGGGGCCAGAGCCCAGCGGCGCTGCCCTGCGCGGGCCGGGAGGGCGGAGGGCGTGTGCGGGCTGGGTGCGCGGGCAGCGGAAGGGAGGCTTGCGGGGAGGGGGAGGTCTGCCTTAGAGGCGTTATTCGCCTGTTTTCTCTGCGATCAGCCGGCTGTGCTTGCTGAGGGATGCTGGCTCCCACCGCCCACAGAAACTGGTGTAGGAGAGCTATTTTCCTGGAGGACTGCATTTCAAAGGATTACTCCCAGGTCCTTGTGAAAGACATCTTTGGGTTGTAAAATGGGAAACAGGGTTTAAAAGAAAAAGTGTGTCCTTTTAATTGATTTTAGAGAGAGAGGAAGGGAAAGGGAGAGAGAGGAACATCAAATAGTGGCCTCTGAAACGCACCCGACCAGGGACCAAATCTGAAACGTGGGTAAGTCCCTGCCCAGGAATCGAACAGGTGACCTTTTCGGTGCAGGAGCCACACTGGCCAGGGCAGGGAAGAGGGCATTTAAAAAGCAGGGAAGAGGGCATTTAAAAAGAGTTACATATTACCAGGGTTTGGGCTGGTGAAGCGGGTTATGAAGGAATCCACACCTGAGGGAAGAGAGAGAGATAGCCAGAGGGAGTTTATTTTACTTTCCATGAAGGGAAAGGGCTAGGCATTGCTCATTGTGCCGGACCAGCAAAGGATTAAAGAAAAGACAGACAAAGAGAATAAGCTGGGTCTAGGTGGATCTCCTGTGCCTGTCTGAGGCCACAGAGAGGGACCCAGACTGCAAGCTGAGCCTTTATTTTATAGCCAGAGGTAAACAAGGTAGTGGTCACCATAGTTGCAATGATCTTGTGAGTTTCACTTGTTTTGGCAGCACTTGCTGCATCTCCCTCAGCCCATTAGCTACCCAGATAAGATCTAGGGCAGGGGTGGGCAACCTTTTTGTGAGTGCGTGCCAAAACCAGCAAAATCTCTGACTCAAAATTCTTCTGCGTGCCAACCCTAATTTTTTGAGAACATGTTACGCCTACTTGATATCTCTTAAGGTGTACATATGTGAAGAACCTTGAAGAAATAATAAAATTCATTCGAGTGACAAAAACACAGTATATGATGATGAAAAATACATTTATTTTTTAATGTATACATGTACACTGATAGTCCGACAGAAAACTTTATGACTCCATTTGATATTATCAGTGGGACTTTTGCTGCTGCATCACTGATGACAGAGATTTTACATCAGGTTTATATTTCGTGACCTTCAGAGATATGCACGAGCTACTACTTTCATCTGTCAGACTACTCCTATTACGAGACTTAACAAAATTCATCACTGAGAACAAAGATTCACAAGCGTATGTGGATGAAAACATGGAGAGTAATGCTGTTGCAAAGTTTTTTAAACAGAAAAAAATTTCTGGAATGGCATTCCAAGTCCTCAATAGTTCGTTTTCGACACTTCTCTCTGGTACTTCTGTCTCTAATCGCTTTTTTCCAATGTTTTCCAAGTCAACTCTAAGGTCAATAAATTTCTGCTTCCAAATTGAGCTACTCTGAAATTCAATCAACTGCATTTAAAAGTCAGCCATGTCTAGCCATGAAAACATTTGTAACTTTAGTTCCTCTAGTTTCATGCTGTCTGGAAACCTCATGAATTTTGCTGTCTCTTCCAGTTCTCTGAATTTCGCAAATCTTGAGAAGAACTGCTCAATAGTTGACTCGATGATGTTTAAAAACAGCTTTTGAAGGCTTTGTCAGTTTGTTCTGTCATCTTTTGGGAGGTCTGTGATGTGGCTCTTGAGGTTTGGGAAATACCTAAATCTCTCACCATCCACATCCCTCTTAAAGACTTCCAATTTCTTTTCAAAAGCCTTTATGTAACCAAACATAACATCAAGTGTCTTGCCAGTTCCTTGTAATTTAACATTTAAGTCATTCAAATGTTCATAAAAATTGTAAATGGAAGATTATAAGAGACGGTTTTGTGTGCCAGCAAAAGTTACTGGTGTGCCATGTTTGGCATGCGTGCCAGGGGTTGCCCACCCTGATCTAGGGAGTGTCATAAGGTCAAGCCTAATTATGCTAAGGGGGCTGTGCCCTCTAAGCTGGGACTTGTTTGTGGCTTTGCCAACAGGTCAATCCGAGGCTTAACTCTATGGCTGCTTCCTACATCTCTCCCTTCTTTTATTTTTAAGCTACTACAGTAAAACTTACACATCAAGAACAAAGCTCTGACTAATAAAACAATGCCAATGCCAATGCAAAACCCAAACTACAGAACATTTTAACATTTTAAAACTTGAACATCAAGAACAAAACTCTGGCTATTAAAACAGTAACAAAACAATGCCAATGCGACACAGCAATGAGAGAAATCAAACTACAGGCATGTTAACATTTCAGCTACAAAATGAAGGTTATAGTCAGCACCTTGGTCCCTTGCATAGCCTTCATTTTCTTCTTCTCCATCGCTATCATTGGGGCAATTCTCAGTCTTTTGAATGCAGGGACATGGAGCTTCTCTGGGTCCCCTGTACCTCCTCCAGCCACCGGTGCCTCTTCTCTGTCTCCTCAATGAGGAGGCCCCACAGCTGCTACAGGTCGGTGAGCCTCTGTGGGATGGTCTCGGCATTCAGGCTGCTGCTGTGGGTGACGATGCTCTGGCTCCTCTCGAAGATGCCGTCGATGTGAAGATGTTGATGTGAGGCTGGTGCTGTCGGATTTCCTTCTGGAGGTCTGATGTTTCTTTATAGTCCTCAGATTTGGACAGTCTTAATTTCCCATGTTTTACACCAAGCTGCTACTAAACTTCACTCCTCCCCTTACTTTTTGCTTTCTGCACTTGCTTCACTGGAGCGTCCTTTCATCTTGCAATTGTAGTTCCCCCGAACTCAGGCCCTGCGTTGGGTGTCACATGTGCCGGGCCAGCACAGCCAAGGGTTTGGTGAGCCTGAGGCGGGGTGGCGAAGAATTAAAGAAAAGACAGACAAAGAGAATAAGCTGGGTCTAGGTGGATCTTCCTGTGCCTGGCTGAGGCCACAGAGAGAGACCCAGAGGCAAGCTGAGCCTTTATTTTATAGCCAGAGGTAAACAAGGTAGTGGTCACCATAGTTGCAATGTTCTTGTGAGTTTCACTTGTTTTGGCAGCACTTGCTGCATCTCCCTCAGCCCATTAGCTACCCAGATAAGATCTAGGGAGCATTATAAGGTCAAGCTTAATTATGCTAAGAGGACTGTGCCCTCTAAGCTGGGACTTGTTTGTGGCTCTGCCAACAGGTCAGTCCCAGGCTTAACCCCATAGCTGGGCCCTACAGCTCATCACAAGGACAGGAAAGCCAAGGGCAGTCTCCCCTTTTACGCCCTGGGCCTAGCTCTTGCTACACAACAAGGGAGGGAGTAGGATGTTTGGGTTAAAATTGAGCAGACATCAGGGGCTGGTTTGTTCCTTCTCCAGGAGACAATCCAGGCAGATGTCCTTGTGCTAGAAAGAAGGTGAGCCCCAAACCAGGGGTCCTGGCAGGACACAAAGGACACTGGGAGCCGGAGAGCAAGGCAGCTCCTCCTGCAGGAGGTGCAGGGGGCGGGGCTGGGAGTAGCAGGGGACGGTCCACACCTGACTCACATCATCTGTCCCTCACTCTTGATTGGTCAGAGCCTAAGCTCCTCCCAGTCTTGCGCGATTGGCTACTTTAAAGGAAAAAGGGAGGGGTTGACCTTTGCCGTTTCAAAATGGCGGCCCCCAGGGGAGCTGCAGTCATGGAGCCAAAATGACGGCTGCCTACACCCCCTTCTTTGACTGGAAAGATTACTTGTTTATTCTCACAATTCCCCCCCTATTTATTCTTTCCTTCAGACTCGGTTTGCATTTGTTGCCTTTCACGATCTGCAGTGTCTGGGAGGAGACTGTTTTGCTGTCTGGTCAATGTGGTTTCCATTACCCTTTGGACAAGACCCCTCATACATGTGTTCACATAAAAACGTTCCAACCTGTAAAGAATGTTGGTGAGTTTATTTGAGCCAAATTGTCCACAGTTGCTGGGAAGCAGAATCTCAAGGGGTTGGGACAGTGCTCTGGAGGGTGGCAGCTTTTCACTTTGTTCTACAAACCAATCCGAGGAGGAGATGAAGGTGGGTTATATGAAACCCATTGGTGATAGAGGAGGAGGCGGGAGAGAGCAAAGCGGAGAGACCCCTGGGATTGGATAAAAAGTAAAATGATAGGCACATCCTTAGTGGGTGCAGGATAGTCAACAGTCAACAATTAACACAATAACAATAACAATGAAGGAATCTGTGGTCTCTGTCCTGGCGCCCAGGGCATGTGGTGTGTAAACGTTTATGTATGTTTGTCCGTCTATGTCCCACGTCCGGCATGGTTCAGGGTTTAGGATCTGGAAGAGGGGCCGCACGCAAATGAAAGAGACAAGACAAGAGATAATTTGGAAATATTGGGGGGCCAGTCGGGCAAGTCAACTCAAGGGGAAGGACTTCCACTGGTGCTCAGGCCTCGCCAACCTTTTATTGGTTTGGGATACACCCCTAACCCTTAGGCAGGCAATTTCCAGTAACAGGCAGATTAGCCCATCAGCAAGGATTTACATAATAATAAATGGGGAAGTTGCTTCAGCTACCATTGTCTGGACTAACAGTGGGTGCACAGCCCTGACCTTTGCCAGGACTTCAAGGATCACCAGCTTTTCGGGTTCCTTGTCCACACCTCTCTGCTAGTGAAGACAATAGGTGGCTTCCCACATGTGGTTGTACCCTGAGGGGTCTGGGGAAGGGAGGTTACAAGTTCCTCTGACATTTCAATGATATGTTATCTTAGATGCAAAAGGACCATAGGCCCAGTTAAGGTAAAGAGTGACCTTGTCAGGGAAGATTCCGGCCTAGGAGTGACTACCCACCATAACTGTCTTTAGTTCAAGTTTAATTGCAGGCCATCCTTGTGGTCACTTTAGGTCTGAGTTTGCAAGACCACCACGCAGGCCTTCCCTGAGCTGTCAGGTTCGCATGCGGCCCCTTTTGTCCACACCAATGTAGGAACAAGAGAAAAAAGTTCTCCATCTTATGCATCAGGTGATTATTTATTCACCTCCATCTGAAGAAACAATTAGAAATGACACAGGAGCATTTTACAGAATTCAAACATCATGCACACACTAGTACATATTGGAGAATATTGTAAGTCTCCCATTTCCCTCCTGAGAGACAAAGGCTGTCAAGAAACTGTGTATATCCTCCCATTTGTCTTCTCCATACATGCTCACATATATATTTATATTTTTACAATCACATAAACTGTTTTGCAACTTTCCCCTTTTACAATATATCATCCTCCTATGAAAGTACAGTATTTGTCCTCTTCTTTGAACCATGAAGAGGATTTCGTTGAATTCCTACGTTTTCTTTATCCATTCATCTCCTGATGGATACGTGATTTCGGTAAACATCCTGTCTGTTTCCACTTTCATAGTGTTAAGTGTCTCTGGGGGGCAGAATCTCCCAGCTGAAAACCACGTGGGCAGAACCTTCCCAAGCTCTCCCAGCTGTGTACTCTGATGAGGTATCTCATTTTGTTTTAATTTGCATTTCTCTGATGCCATATAATGTTGAGTTTTTTCAGTGTTTTTTAAAGATTTTACATTTCAGAGCAGTTTAAGTTCACAGCAAAGTTGAGGGGAAGGTATAGAAATTTTTCACATACCTCTTCCTCTTGCATATGCCCAGCCTCCCTCACACCACTTCCTCACCACAGTGGTACGTCCTTCACAGTTGAAAGTGATCAAAATCACCCACACCATAGTTGACATTAGGTCACCCTTGGTAGTGTACATTCGGTGGGTTTTGGCAAGTGTATAATGACATATGTCCATCATTACAGTGTCATACAGAGTAGGTTCACTGCTCTGAGTCTCTGAGTGCCACCTATTTATTCCTCTTCCCACCCCTAAACCCTGGCAGCCACTGATGCAGTTACTATTTCCATAGCTTTGCCTTTATCAAAATGTCAGATACAGTGGGGCCTTGACTTACAAGTGTCCCGACTAACGAGTTTTTCGAGATACGAGCTGTCTCTTGGCCGATTTTTTGCTTTGAGTTGCGAGCTAAAATTTGGGTTACGAGCCAGCTTCAGATACCCCACCGCTAGTTGGTGCAGCGAATGTCACAGTGAACGCCACAACATCAGCCCAGCATCACGTGTCTCACTCGTTCACAATTGATTTGACATACGAGTAATTTGAGTTATGGGCTCCATCACGGAATGAATTAAACTCATAAGTCAAGGCCCCACTGTAGTTAGAATCACAGTGTGTAGCCTTTTGATTGGCTTCTGTCAGTTAGTCAGATGCAATTAAGGTTCCTCAGTTGTCTTCATATGGCTTGATAGCTCACTTTTTTTAATCTTTATTAAAAGTATTACATATGTCCCCTTTTTGCCCCCATTGACCCCCGCCAGCCCACCATCATCCCAGACCTTTACTACCCTACTGTCTGTGTCTATGAGTTATGCATATATGCATACAAGACCTGATTGATTAACTCCCACCCACCTACCTCCTCCACCTTTCCTACTAGATTACCCGCACTCTTCCATGCTTCCATATCTCTGGATCCACTCTGTTCATCAGTTTCTTCTCACATATGAGTGAGATCATGTGATACTTGTCTTTCTCTGACTGACTTATTTCACTTAGCATAATACTCTCCAGGTCCCTCCATGCTGTCTCAAAGCGTAAGAGATCCTTCTTTTTTACTGCTGCATAGTATTCCATGGTATAAATGTGCCACAGCTTTTTTATCCACTCATCTACTGATGGGCACTTGGGCTGTTTCCAGGTCTTAGCTATTGTAAATTGTGCTACTATGTGTCAGAAGCCGGTCCATCCTTGCTGCTTGACACAGTCGCTGCAGGGAAGAAACATCTGCACAGCGTATGTTTCAAGGGACCTGGCGTATATGTCATACTGTTCTTAATATGTTTGCTCACCTTCTTGGCGATATGTGTTTTAACCAAGGTCACCTCTCCGAGAAAGGTTGTTTCCCCAGGTAGGGATTTTTCCCTGAAGTTAGGGAGGGAATAAAACCTGTTAACTGAATGCCAGGCGGGTGGTTAATCACTTTAACTACGAACAATCACCCTTAAGCTACATAATCTTTACTCCCTGGAATGGAGATAAGAAACGCCCTAACCTTTGGAATAGAACTTGACAGGATTAAAATCAACTGGTATACATACAGATGTAACAATAAAAGACAGAACCTGGCTAGAACTTGGCTAGAGAACCTGGCTGAAGAACCTAGACACAGAACCTGGCAAGAGAACCTAGACCAGCCATGGGCAAACTACGGCCCACGGGCCAGATCCGGCCTGTTTGAAATGAATAAAACTAAAAAAAAAAAAAAAAAAGACCGTACCCTTTTATGTAATGATGTTTACTTTGAATTTATATTAGTTCACACAAACACTCCATCCATGCTTTTGTTCCGGCCCTCCGGTCCAGTTTAAGAACCCATTGTGGCCCTCGAGTCAAAAAGTTTGCCCACCCCTGACCTAGACAGAACTTGGCTGGAGAACCTGGCTAGAGATCCTGGATAGAACCAGGCCAGAAAACCCAACTATGCTGATAAACTGAATGCTGCCTCAGTGTCCTTCCTTCTTCGCCGACTCCGTCCACACCTTTGGGAACCTCTGGACCTGCTGGGGCTGGACCCTAACAACTATGAACATAGAGGTGCATATATTCTTTCTGATTGGTGTTTTGAGTTTCTTAGGATATATTTCTAGAAGTGGGATTACTGGGTCAAATGGCAGTTCCATATTTAATTTTTTGAGGAAACGCCATACTGTCTTCCATAGTGGCTGCACCAGTCTGCATTCCCACCAGCAGTGCACGAGTGTTCCCTTTTCTCCACATCCTCACCAGCACTTGTCATTTGTTGATTTGTTAATGGTAGCCATTCTGACAGTGATACCTCATTGTCATTTTAATTTGCATCTCTCTGATGATCAGTGACTTTGAAACATTTTTTCATAGGTCTCTTGGTCATCTGTATGTCCACTTTAGAAAAGTGCCTATTTAGGTCTAGTTCAGTGGTTCTCAACCTTCTGGCCCTTGATAGTTCCTCATGTTGTGACCCAACCATAAAATTATTTTCATTGCTACTTCATAACTGTAATGTTGCTACTGTTGTGAATCGTAATGTAAAGATCTGATATGCAGGATGATAGGCGACCCCTGTGAAAGGGTCTTTCAACCGCCAAAGGGGTCACGACCCACAGTTGAGAACTGCTGGTCTAGTTTCATTTTTTTGCATATACCTGTCCAATTTTCCCAACATCATTTTTGAAGAGAATGTCTTCACTCCAATGTATGCTCTTGCCTCCTGTATCAAATATTAATTGAGCATAATGGCTTGGGTCGATTTCTGGGGTCTCTATTCTATTCCATTGATTTATATGCCTGTTCATGTGCAGTACCAGGCTTTTTTTAGTTACAGTGGCTTTATAGTATAACTTGATGTTGGGTATTGTGCTTCCCTCCTTGTTCTTCTTTCTCAAGATTGCAGCTATTCGGGGTCTTTCTTGGTCCCACATCAATTTTTAAAATATTTGTTCTAGATCTGTGAAATATGCTGTTGGTATTTTATTAGGGATGTATTGAATCTATAGATTGCTTTGGGTAGAATGGACATTTTAATGATGTAAATTCTACCAACCCATGAACACAGTATATTCTTCCACTTGTTTATGTCTTCCTCTATCTCTTTTTTTCAACATCCTGTAGTTTTCTGAGTACAAGTCTTTTACTTCATTGGTTAAGTTTATTCCTAAGAATCTTAATTTTTTGTTGCAATGGTAAATACAATTGTTTAGTTTCTGTTTCTGAGAATTCATTATTGGTGTATAAAAAAGCCATTGATTTTGTGTCCTGCTAGATTGCCAAATTCATTTATTAAATCTCGTAGTTTTTTGGTGGAGTCCTTAGGGTTTTCTATGT